CTCACTGAGCATGATCTTTTCCAGCTCCATCCAAGTTGCTGCAAAAGACATGTGTTTCTCTTTTTTGGTTGCTGAGTAATATTCCATTGTGTAATATTCTTTTTTATCCAGTCATCTACTTTTGGGCATCTGAGCTGCTTCCATGTTTTTCCAATTCTAAATAAAGCCTGCTGAAAATATTTTTAAAAGAACCAATTGACAATTGTATTGGTATAGTTAGTGCTCTATAACTTTATCTATTTGTTCATTATTCGTTATACTAATGAGCAGCAAAGAGGGTAAGTTTTCTCTGTTTACTTACCTAAATATTCCAGGTATTTTTCCTTTCAAGGAGACTTTATTCTAAATCTCATCATGGGGCTTTTTTTTTCTTTATTTGTTAATATATTCCAAGTAACTTAATGGTTCTACTGAACAGTTATGAATTTTGGGGCTGGCCCAGTCAAAATTTTTGCAAAATTACATCAAAAAGCATTGCTGATAAGGGCAGAGTTTCTCAAGTGTATTCCAAAACTACTTAAATCCAAAGCATCTCAGGTGCTTGTTCAAAATGCCAATCCCTAAGTCAAAACCTAGAGCAGTTAAATGGAACCCAGAAATCTTTCGTATTGTCCAAGTTGTCCAAGTGCATAGATATACACTAAAACTTAGAAAACCCTAATCTAAAGAATCTCTTCCCCTTCAAGGTGCAGTGTATTGGTCCAAGAGCAAACTAATCACACCCCCACCCAAATAACAAAAAACAAAAAGGAAAATTCAGTTCCATTTGGTGAGAATGACCATGAACTCTTTCAAAAGACATTGGTTAAAGAAATACTTTCTACAATAAATACCATAATTATTCTTAATATTTAGAGTCTAACAATCACAGGGAGAAGGACTAAGATGTCTACAAAAATGTGTTGCTATCATTTCCTGATTAATATTACACATAATGAATTATTTATTGAGCCCCTACTGTGGGCCAAATATGGTGTTCTGTGCTGCCAGGAGTTATATAAAGCTATCCTGGGATGAAAAGCATATGTTCATTCTGCTCTATTCTGGAAGAACCTAGTTGATTTAGTGATTGCTGGAAATGGACATGCGTAATCTGGGGGGAGGCAGTAAGTTGATGTCTTAAAAATCAGACATAAAAGTCTTCCTGGGAATTTGCTAAATGAAAATTAGGTCCAAAAGGTATAGTTACTAGGTCCTTGGTTTATAGCCAAACCACTGGAAAAGTACAAGCAGCAGCATTTATTTTGGGAATGTGTATACTCGATTTAGAGTACACAGTACTGCGGTACTTACTTTATCCAACAACATTTCTGTGCAATCATACTATAGAGATTTGACAGAAGAATTGAGACTAGATATTACCATATTGGGAACTCAATTTATTTAGTAAGTTCCTAGTAGGCTAACTCCTCATAGTTTGCCTATTTTCCTGTTTTAGCACCAAAATTTCCAGAAACTTCCTTAATATATGGCAATCTGGATATGTTGGTTATCCTTGTCCTTCAAGTAAAGCAATGAGGTTCCTTCATAAGTTAAACAGTTTCATTCAGTGAAGGATGGACTCTATTATCATCTTGGATTATGCAACTCAATTTCCTTGCCCCTGTGGATATGATTAAACTGGAAAGCCATAAAACCTAAAGTTCTTTCCTGCGCTGTCAAGCATGTTCCTATGAATATCACAAGCAATGCATCGGGTTGAGGTTCATCCTAGGGATCCAGTACAGTCTTTTCGGAACTGTTCACTAAACTGATAACTTAAGTTTTTTTGATATATTCTCCTCATTTCATAACAAACTTGTTACTCTCAAAGTTCTAGCTCTTTCTCTAAATAATCAGTCCAGTCTTCTCAAATCTAGTTTCCTATCAATTAAAATTGTTTTCTTATGAATGTAGGCAAACATGTACAAACAAAAAGGCACATATATAAATTTCATTCCATTCCATTGTCAGTGAACCTGATGTTGTTTTTGAGATGAGTTTTGAGTGCAAGGTCCCTTGTTTCACTCAGGGAAAGGTTTCACCAGAGCTCCCCTTTCAGTGGAACGTGGCAAGTTTCCAGCTAAGACACGAGGCAGAGATGTTAGTTACATTTATTTGAAGAATAACTGTATTTATTTATGCATACAAGAACTACATATAATTCTTATATATGTAAGAACTATATATAGTATAGGCCAGAGGTGTGGGGGATATGGGGGGCAATGAAAGGATTCACTAGAGACAGAGTGAGGACAGAGTGGGGAGCAGAACAGGCAGATCTACTAAAATACACTGCTGAGGGGAGTTGTGCCATGTGGGTCACCGCCCTGGCTGGGAACCAAACTCATGCTGTAGTAACTGTGGATAGCTTCATAGTGCTGTGCTTTAACCCACTGCACTGCCAGGGAGGGCCCTGTTAATTATATTAAAGAGCAGGTTTATTAGGAACAGGAACAGAAAAAAGACACAAGTGGACAGGAAGTGCTGCCCCCAAAGGGTCATATGTGCCGAGAGGCCTGTATGGTCACAGGGCTTGAGGAGAGCTGCCTCTGCTGAGAGAGGTCAGAAAAGAGAAGCCAGGACATGGTACAGGTCAGGAGCAGGCAGGAGGCTGCTGCCCTGCAGAGGGAGAGGTTCAGTGGAAAGAAGACCACATAGTCACAGGCAGGCAGGACTGCTGCCCCCTGGCTAGTGCAGAGACTGCCCTGATATAGCCCTTTTCTCTTTGGGAGGGGCCCACTCCTTTGTGGAGTAGCCTGTTTGCTGCTGATTTTGGATAACTATGGAATTACACAGGGACAGGAAATTTCACAATGGCCCAATAAGTCCAATCTCTATAGCTTTAACCTCAAGTCTGTGCTTCTGACACTCTCCACAGCAGGTTGATACGTGTTTGGGTCTTAAGCCTTGTGATAAGGCACTAAGGGTCTTGATTTCTATGGCTGGGTAATGTTCATGTTAATCCCTTCTATCCCTACCTCCCACAAGTTTTAACTTCGTGATGTTCCCTCCATTCTTTCCTCCATCAAACCCACTCATAGTTTTTGAACATTCAGGCAAACCTCTCCTTCCTTAAGATTTTGTCATTTCATGGTGTTACCTCTTTCAAACAGATTTTAAAATTTAAATAAGTTGCTATCTCAGTGAAAGATAGTATGTGTAAAGAGAAAATGTAAAGTGCAGGGTTTGAATTTGCAGCTCTAGATTTGAATAATAGTGTGCTTCTTTTTAAGTACATATCTACAACTCTGTGCTATAAGGTTTTACACACACACACAAAAAAAAAAAACAGAAGAGAGTGGTTATTTTAGAGAACTGGGTGTTTTTTTTTTTAAAGATTTATTTATTTGTGTATACAAGAACTGGGTTATAGGCCAGAGGTGGGGGGTGGGGAGTGAGAGGATTCACCAGAGATAGAGTGGGGAATAGAAAGGGCAAATCTACTGAAATACACTGCTGAGAGGAGCAGCATGTGGTCAGGAGAGGTCTGCCAGGCCATGTGGGTCACACCTCCCTGGCCAGGAATTCATCTGTTGATGGCTTCATACTGCTGTGCTTTAAGCCTTTGTACCACCAGGGAGGGCACGACTGGTGGGTGTTTTTCTGAAAAAAATTCTGAAAAAAGAGTATAGATGTAAAGTACATGGAAGCCTATTTCCTGACACCTAGTAATTCAAAAAAAATGTAGTTACTGTCCTCACTACAATATCACAAAATTGTAACAACAGTAGCATTCACTAAATTCAACAATCAGATGGCAGAATTTTAGCCATTAAAGATGCCTAAAAAAAGAGGCATAAACTGCCTTCCCAAGCAGAGTAGGGAGAGGAACTGTCTAATTTGCTTCAGTCTCACCGCCTTTATCTGAACTGATGCTTCTTATAACTGGATAGTGTTAAATGCCGTCACAATCTGTGTGTTCAGGAGATGCTGGCTTTCAAGTTTGCTCCCTTGAGAACTCTTGTGTCACATCTTTCATAATGGAAAGAGGAAGCAGTAAAAGAAAAAAGGGAAGTCACCGAAATGCAAAATCTGCTACCAGCTGCCCCATTCTGTTCGACTACCCGGGTCTGCTTCGGCTGGTTGGCAGAGACGTTTCGCCAAAGGCTTTTCAGGCGTCACCCCCAGGTGTTCGTCAGCGCAGAGATGGGGGCGGTGGGTGAGATCATCCTAGAAACTGAAAGGCAGATGGCGAGGGGTAGGGGGTAGCCATGCGCATCAGCGATTTGGCTAAAGGACAGTGCAGCAGAGTGCGGGTCGGCATGGGGTAAGAGGTGGGGGCACAGAGTAAGAATCAGGCAACCCTCAGGAGAGGAATTCTTTGCTGGGGACCCGAGCATTTCTTTGCAATCTCAAGCAGGCTCGATCGTGTTGCGCCTGCAGCCATCAGCAGCAGAGAGACTCTACCCTCCTCTCCTTCCCCAGCCATTTCTGACTCAGTAGCCAAATTCTGAATCCTGGGAATGCTGCACGTCGCCCACTAGCTACGCAGAAAGCCTGAGCACAGGAAACTGCAGACTCAGTACCCGTGCGCAACCTGGCGCCAGCCCCACCTGCGGCCATTTCTAAGGAACGGAAGCGCCCCGCCTCCCCGCCGCCGCCGCCGCCGCCGCAGGTCGCGCATGCTCGGCGCCCGCCGGAAGCGTTTGCTCCCAGACGGCATTTCCTTCCTGTGTGAGGCTAGTGGAGGGCTGCTTCTGCCGCCTTTTCTGCCTGGGGTGAGTAGCGGGTTCCCGCCGGGCCTCCTGGGGCCAGGGCCAAGATCCGCTGGACCTCCGTTAGGGACTAGCTCGGTTCTGGGAAGCTAGGCAGGGAAGGTCACCTCGCTCCTGCCCACACCCCAACTCTGCCGCCCCCCACCTTTCTCACAGCCCTTGATATCCAGCGGATTAACCTCCAAGGGCATCCCAGGCCTGGCTTTGGCTGGCGGCCCGGCCTTGGTCCTTAGGTCTCCCGGAGCGCTGCCTTCAAGAGTTAGGCTTTTTGCTAGGGAGTCCCTGGAGGCAGCCGGGTTACTGTGGGGCACGGGGTCACCCCCGACGACCTCAGAACCGGGGATTAGGCGACGGCGGCTGCCATCAGTCGCGTGTGTTTGTCGCACAGGCACTGCTATCACCTAGTGCAAAAGCGGAGGTGGTTCTTCAGGCCTGGACACGCTTTCGCAGGGGATGGTGGTGATGTTAATAATAACCTGTCCTTAATGTGAAGGTTGGCAGGTTTTCTTTGTTGGTTGCGAAACTGGGACGTTGCGGTTTCGGGAGCAACTTTGTTGAACTCCTGGGTCGATTGAAGAAATCCTATAGTATGAACACTATACTCTTGTTCTTTCACATGCAACTAAGTTGCCCTTGACGAGAGAGTAGGGTTTCAAAGTTTTCTTACCTGAACTGTAGACCGACTTAACGTGAAACTATCAGGGTCATGTTTACCTAGTATAATTCTTAGTGTTTTTGCGGTATTATTTGTACCATCTATGTTGATGTATAAGGATTTTACATGACAGGTGTATATCGGTGTCATATTAGTGATAATGAGTGAGAGATCAAGTATATATAGTTGTAACCTAGAGTGTAAGTTTCAGTTTTCATTTCAGAATTTTGAGGTCACATTAAAAGATGGACCATTTTAGAAGTCAGCATAGGACCTAGCTACTGCATCACAGTGAATGACTTGTGGATAAACATACAGTTAAAAAGGTCTTGATTTTTTTTTTTAAAGACATTTATGCATACAGAACTGGGGTATAGTGGTGCAGGGGATGTGAGAGGATTCATCAGAAACAGAGTGGGGAACAAAACAGGCAGATCAACTAGTTCACTGCTGAGGGGAGCAGTGGGTGGGTCAGGAGAGGTCTGCTATGTGGATCACCTCTGGTGTGGGGATCCAACTCATGCTGAAATGGCTTTAGCTTCTTACTGCTGTGCTTTAACCGCTGTGCCATCAGGGAGAACCCAGATTTTTTTTTTATAGGTTCAAAATTATCTTGGTGGCTGGGATATACTGGTAACAGTTGGTTCCTCGTAATGGAGATGTGAGCCTGAATGGGAGCATTTTGTCACGTTGTAATGTAGCTCAGTGAACATCCAATAGATGCTAGTTTTATCACTACATACTTTAAACAGATTAAAATGTTTCATTCAAATATCAGTAGCTATCTTAGATTAAGTTAATAAATCGTTGTTTTGTCTTTTGGTTTATAAATAATGTTCCCACATAATGATACCACATATTTCAATGGCATATTCAGATTTTCTGGTTTGAAATAAAAAGCCGGAGAAGTCAATTTTTCTTTTCCTTTTTT